GGGGGGGTCAATGGAACCACGTGGGGAAGTCCAGCTGTCCGAGCGGGGAATCTGGACCAGTGGAACCCAAGGGAACAGCTCTGCCCCCACCAGGGTCCGTGGGACCTCCCCCAGGCTGCTAGTCGCCACCTGAGCTGCTGAAGGGGTCAGGCCCCACGCTCCCCGTGTTCTGGGGCGAGCCCGCAGAGCTCACCTTGAAAGCGAAGGTCTCCCCAAAGTGCGGGTTGAGCGTCTGCCGATGCACCTTGGTCTCGTGGCGCCGGCGCTTGTCTGGCAGCAGGTAGACTCGCACGTAGGGGTCCGAGGAGCCACCCAGGTCCAAGGCTGCCAGTCCCTCAGCTTGCAGGATGCCCACCAGCAGCTGCAGGTGCCCAGGCACGGGAGGCCCTCACCTCAGCCTGCCCCCAGGGATCGGGATGTCCTGGAGCCTGCCCTCCTCCACACTCACCTGGCCGCTCTGGAAGTCATAATCCAGGGAGTACTGCAGCCGTCCTAGCTCCTGCTTCTCTGCTGCCTGCTGCCCTGGCCCCGGGGCCGGCTCCAGCTCCTCCACTTCGGGCTGCACCTTAGGGAGCCAGGGCAAGGGCAAGTGAAGTCTTCCCGCCACTGCGAGTGTGCGCTCCGGGCCCAGAGCCATCGGTGCTCTGAGCACTCACAGGCTAAGCAGGGTCCGCGCGCTCAGTGACGCCTGCCAGGGCAGCACACAGGTGGCAACGCACCTGCAATACAGGGCTCAGTGTCTCACTGGGGACGTCTGCTTGGGCGGGACGGTGACACTCAGACATGGTGTGTGTCTCTGGCCTACAACAGCGAGTTGCCCACAGGAAGGAGACAGGAGTTTTCTTTGTTTTTGTTTTCTTTTATTTTTTGGAGAGGTTTTTGCTATAGGGCGCGTGCGCTCGCCAGACAGAGAGAGACAGAAAGCGAGAAATCATCCCAGGGGGGATGGCCACGCCGCAGTCCCTTCTCCTCCACTCTCCTCTCGGGATCTTGGGCACGCACACACACGCGCCTAGCGTGAGTTTTAAGTCCTCAGATCTGGGGCTCGAACCAGGGTGTGCCGACTACATGGGAGTCCAGCGACATGGCCATTCATTGCATGATTTGCTGTGCCCTGGGTCACCTCTTGGAGGGCTCTGACTCAGCAGGCCTGACGCTAGATCTAGAACGTGTAGTCGTCAAGTCACAGAGGTGATCCTGCTGCGAGCGGTCTCCGAACGTCCGGCTGAGGGACGAGGGTGGGTACAGGACCCTAATGGGCACCCCCGAGGGGTAGTAGTTACCACAGTCCTTCTCAAGCAGGAGGGAGGAGATACTATGTTGCTGGCCACAGCTTGCGGCTCAGAGAGGGACACTGAGTTTCCCGGGAACGCCGCTGGGAAAGGGCCCTGGTTGCAAACCGAGGACTCCGGCCACAGGTGAGCACCCTGCTGCGTTCCTGGAGGTCTGATGTCCAGACCTTCAGGGACCCTGCGCTTTCTGTGGCAGGGCCTCTTCCAGGATACTCTCTCCTCGTCTCAGCCACTCCACAGGTTCCAGAGGACTAGCCTTGCCGCCGTCCGACCCTGTCCCTCTCCTGCTCAAAGCATCTCCATGTGGGTTGGCCCAGGAGCTAACGTGCTCCTCAAGGATGTGGACCCACAGGGCAGATGGACATGCCAGGTGCTCAGGTCTGAGGCCCTGGCTGGTTGGGGGGTGGAGACCCTGTTGAGGATACTTGTCTCTGTCTCAGAGAAGAAATAACCTTTAATTAATTAATTTATTTTTTGAGAGATATTTTTGCTATAGGGTGCGCACACTCACTGGAGAGACAGAAAACAAGAAATCACTCCCCTGGGGGAATGGCCACACTGCTGTCCCTTCTCCTCCATTCTCCTTGGGATTTTGAATGCGCGCACACATGCGCCTGGCACGAGTTTTATGCTGCCGGGGCTGGGACTTAACAGCAGTTGTCCACATGGGAGTCCAGGGATGTAACTATTAGGCCATCTGCTGGTCCCCAAAATAAATTAAAAACGAATTCATCAGGAAGCATGTTGACCCACCAGAGAGACAGACACAGAGAGAGGGAGAGGGCAAGAGCACCCCTGTCCTGGGGAGAGGGGTCACACTGCAATCCCTTCTCTCTTATTTCTTCCTCCCGTCAGGGTATGGCCATGCACACGCCTGGTGTGTTTTTCAAGTCAGTGTTTTCGAGACTTGAACCGTGGGCTTGGCCACGTAGGAGCCAACTGCCTTAGCCGCCAGGCCACAGAGCGGGCCCAGGAGACAGGTAAACTTTCCAGAAAGTCTCTCCGCTGCTCTGCTGGTGCGTACTGCTGAGCTGGGCGGGTACCACTCCAGGGACGGCGTCTGCACCTGCACTGGCCATGGAGCCCACCGACTTCCTGCCCCGGCACCACCAGGAGCCTGCGTCCGCCTCATCCTCTGGCTAGGCCAGCTTCCTCTCTGCTCAGGTCACCTGGGTCCCAGCACAGAGGTCACCTCCACCGCGAGCCCTGGCCTGCCTGGGCTGTCAGGTGCCTCCTCCATGCTCCTATCCCAGCCGGCCCTGCCTCCACTACACCAGCTGGCCCTCCATGGGGAGCAGGGTGCCATGTCAGCGACGGTTCCCCCACCAGACTGGAAGGTGCCTGCAAGCAGCAGCCAGGTCTGCCCAGCTCCACCACACACCACAGGGCAGAAGAGGGAATAGGCGCGCCGGAGGAACGGGGTAGGGACGGACACGGGCACTGGGCGGGCTTGCGGGGCTGGGCCGGGCCGCACCTTGTCTATGTAGCTGTGGCCCAGCTCCTTCACTTCCTGCAGGTGCACCTGGGCCTGCACCTGGCTCTTGCCCAAGCGCCGCCGACAACGCTTCCGGTAGAGGCAGAGACAGCAGCTGAAGACCAGGAGGCCTGACACCAGCACGATGGTGGCCAGGGCCCAGGGGGGCACTGCGGAGGGAGATGGCAGCGCTGAGCTGGGCAGCTGACCTGCGACGCCCGCTCACTCGTGGGGCCAGCGGTGGCCTCCGTGGCCCTGCAGCCGTTCCACTCGACCCCGCCTTTCCTCGCGACTGCTCTCACCAGTAAGGTGATTTGCTGCCCTGACCCAGGTCGGCTCCACCCACACTTGCTTATTAGTTCCAAAGTTCCCTCCAACCCACTTCTAAGTCCTGCTCCACCCCTGCTGTTTTTAGAAGCTGTGATCCCGGGGACCAGCAGTCGGTGTAATGGCTATGTTGCTGGACTCCCATGTAGTTACCGCGGCTCGAGTCCTGGACCTGGTGGCTTAAACTCATGCCAGGTGCGTGTGCGTGCATGTCAAAGATCCCAAGAGGAGAATGGAGGAGAAGAGACTGTGGCGTGACCATCCCCCCCCGGGGGGGGGCGATTTCTCGCTTTGTCTCTCTGTCTCTTTTTGGGGAACGCACGTGCCCTATAGCAAAAACCTCTCCAAAAAAAGAAGAAGCTGCGACCCTCCCCAGGCGGGCAGAACTGTCAAGACCTTATTCCATGCCACGCCCCCGATCTGCTGCTGGTTTTTCTTGCAAACCTGTTCGTTCCTTTCTCCTCGTGTCATTCAAA